TACAGGGTTTCCAAGGAACAGGTGACAGGTTTGGGCCACTGACCTTGTGGTTAGCAGACCAGTGCTTACCCTACAACACCATACTAGGACTCCTACAGCCATGTTGTTGTTGTTGTTATTAAGTGTCACTGAGTCCATTTCAACTCTTAAGGTTTCCGAGGAGCAGCTGGTGGGTTTGAACCGCCAACCCTCTAGCTAGCAGTCCAGTGCTTATCCTACAGAGCCACACAAGGACTCCCCTACAGCCACAGACACCCAAAAATAAAACAAAAAATAAGCAATACCATGTAAAATGGAAATATTTGTCTTAGTGCTTCTGTGGCGAAAAACATACTTTATTACATTTTTTGGTATTCTTTTACTTTTTTACTATTATGTATTACTTGACCATTTCTTTATATTTAAAAATTTACTGATATGCTATAAAAGTTACACACAGAATACGAAAAAACAAGGCACATTTCTTAAACACCAAGATTATGCCAGATATTTTATACACTCATTCTTATTTAATTTTCACCATATTCTCATTTTCTAAATGAAGAAGCTGGGACTCAGATATCAAGCTCATTATACATAGTCACTGAATAAACGAGAGCTGAGAATAAAATTCAGGATAAAACAGGGTGTTTTTAGGGGATACATGGCATTAAACAATTGTCAAAATCCATCGGCACATACAAAATAAATGCATCCTGGTGGTGTAGTAGTTAAAGAACTTGGCTGATTATTGAAAGGTCATCAGTTCAAACCCACCAGTTTCTCTACAGGAAAAAGACGTAGAGAAAAAACCCTATGGGACAATTCTACTCCGTCTTTTAAGGTAACTCTGAGTAGGTATCAACTTCGCAGCAAGAGGTTATACAATGAAGAAACCCTAACATAAGCTATTGCAACCTTATGCACAGCAGAACAAAACACTACCCAATCCTGGGCCAACCTCACTACTGTTGCCACGCTTGAGGCAATGGATGCTGCTACTTGGTCAATCCATCTTGGTGGGGGTCTTCCTCTTTTTCTCTGACCCTCCACCTTACCAAACATGATGTCTTTCTTCAATGACTGGTCCCTCCTGAAAATATGTCTGAAGTATGAGAGACTAAGTTTAGCCATCCTGGGTTCCAAGATGCACTCTGGCTGCACTTCTTCCAACACGGATCTGTTGGTTCTTTTGGCAGCCCATGGTACTTTCAATATTCTCCTACAACATGATAACTCAAATGCGTCAATTCTACGGCCTTCCTTATTTACTATCCAGCTTTCACATGCTTATGAGGTTACTGAAAACACCATGGCTTGGGTCAGGCGCACCTTAGTCCTCAAGCTGACATCTTTGCTCTTCAACACTTTTTAAAAGGTCTTGTGCAGCAGATTTGCCTAATTGTTATTGTTTTGTAGTTGCTGTTCGGTTCCATGGAGTCGGTACCGACCCATAGCGACCTTACGCACAGCAGAACAAAACACTGCCCGATCCTGGGCCAACCTCACTACTGTTGCCGTGGCTGAGTCCATCGATGCTGCCACTTGGCCAATCCATCTCCCTGGGGGTCTTCCTCTTTTTCTCTGACCCTCCAACTTACCAAACATGATATCCTTCTCCAGTGACTGGTCCCTTCTGACAAAATGTCCAAAATATGAGAGACTTGGTTTGGCCATCTTAGCCTTCCAAGGAGCACTCTGGCTGTACTTCTTCCAAAACGGATCTATTGGTTCTTTTGGCAGCCCATGGTACTTTCAATATTCTCCTCCAACACCATAACTCAAAAGCATCAATTCTTCTACTACGGTCTTCCTTATTCACTGTGCCAACCAACTCACAGTGACTCTATGTGCTACAAAACACTGCCCTGTCCTGTACCATCCTCATAATTGATGTTATGTTTGAGCCCAATGCTGCTGCCACAATGTCAGTCCATCTCGTTGGGGGTCTTCCTCCTTTCACTGATCTTGCATTTTTCAAGCATAAAGTCCTTTTCTAGGACCTGATTCCTCCTAACAACATGTCCAAAGAGAGAGGGAAACTCTTGCCATCCTTGATTTTAGGGAGCATTCTGGCTATACTCCTTCTAAGACAGATTAGTTTGTTCATCTGGCAGTCCATGGTACTTTCAGTGTTCTTCACCAACTACAAAATTCAAATGCATCAATTCTTCTTGATTTTCCTTCTTCATTGTCCAACTTTCACATGTACATGAGGCAACTGAAAATATCATGGCTTGGGTCATGTGAACCTTAATCCTCAAACTGAGACCTTCGATCACTAACACTTTAAAGAGCTCATTTGCAGCAGATTTATCAAATACAATGTCTTTTGATTTCTTGACTGCTATTTTCATGAGTGCTGATCATGGATCCAAGCAAAATGAAGTCTGACAATTTCAATCTTTGCTCCATTTATGATGTTATTTATTGTTTTGTTTATACTGAAGTTCAATCCATACTGAAGGCTGTAGTCTTTGATCTTCATCAGCAGGTATTTCAAGTCCTCTTCATTTTCAGAAAGCAAAGTTGTATCATCTGCATATCGCAGGTTAATAATGAGTCTTCCTCCTATCCTGATGCCATGTTCTTCTTATAATCCAGCTTCGCGGATTATCTGGTCAGCATACAGATTGAATAAATATGATGAAACTGCTGAACCCTATCCACCATGAGTGACCCCACTGGTATTTAAAATACCAGTGACATAGCTTCTAGCATCACAGCAATGCATAAACTACCATAGTAACATAAACTGACAGAGTGGTAATAAGTAAATGATAGACTTCAATTAGTAATAACGTACCAATATTGGCTCAAGAATTATGACAAACGTACCACAGGAATACTAAACATTAATAGTTAAAACAACGTGTAGGGAGTCAGAGATAAATAGGAAGGAACTCTGTACTTTTTGCTCATTTTTTAAAATAAACTTAAAACTGCTGTTTAAAAAGTCTATTTAAAATCAAATAAAAAATACAAAGATAAAGTTTTCTGGTTTTGGTTTTGTTTTCCCTAGTCCAGGAAGGTATACCGAAAAGTCTCTGGAGCATGTATCACCGGCACAGGAACACTGGTAGAGGAGGCCAGACAGACAGCTGAAATGAGTCTGAACAATACAGAGCAGATGGGAACAAAACCAGTAAGGAATCATCCCGGAAGAAAAGAACAACATGCACAAGTCAAGAGTCAAGATGACGTGTCAGGGGACGAATAAGTTGTTTGGTAAAGCTACAGTTTAAAGTTTATTTGTAGAAGTAAAAGAAATGAAAATGAAAAGAAAAATAAGGGCCGATCAATACAACTAATTAGTCATCAATATCTGTGAGGTACCTGGCACCACATGTGAACATTAAAAAAAAAAAAAATGTACTGACTGAATTATCTGAAATGGCAGAATATCATAACACGAATTGTTTACAGTAGTACTTTGTGGTTTTTTTCCTTCATTTTATTGTTACTATTGTTTTCATGATTGCTTTTTGACAGTAGTGTAAGAACAGACTGGAGTTGAGATTGAAACAAGGAAATCAGAAGACTCTTAATGAAAAAGAAATGAAAAAGGTACACTACAGCTAAAGAAGAGAGGTAGAAAGAAGGCCATGGAGCCAAGAAAATTAACAGGTGATTCAGATGAAGTGGTGAACAATTCATCGGAGGATAGTGATTCCAGTTTCTGGTCTTCACCAGCTTAATAGATGATGCTAATGATCATGAAAGTCAGAAGACAATACAGAAAGACCATATTCAGAGAGGAAAGCCTACAATGTCCTCAACTTTTTGGACAAGTTACTCCTAAAGTGTTTAGGTACACCCAAAGTGAACATATTCTGTGAGGACAGGCAGAGCTTGGAGTTATTATGAATCCAGTTCCAGAACACTGTAATAAAGCAAACATTCCAATAAAGCAAGTTTCATGATTTTTGTTTTTCATTTCCCAGTGAACATAAAAGTTATGTTCATATTACATTGTAAGTGCAATTGTTGTTGTTAAGTGCTGTTGAGTAGGTTCCGACCCATAGCAACCCTGCATAGAGTTTCTGAGGAGCAGCTTGTGACCTTGACCACAGACCTTGTGGTTCAAACTGACTTAGAATGCAGCACATTAACCCACAGCGCCACACCAGGGCTAGTAAGTGCAATAGCATTATGAAAAAGTGTGAAATATTCTGAGAATTACCAAGATGCAACAGAGACACGAAATGGACACAAACCTTTGGAAAAATGGAGCCAATAAACTTGCTCAACAGAATTGCAACAAAACTTCTATTTCTAAAAATCACAATATCTGCATAGTGCAACAAAATAAAGTGCTATACAGCAAGGTGTGTCTGTAGCTTGACATTTAATGATAGAGCTAAGAAAGATGCTGTTAAAGCCATAGAAACAAGTAAAAGGACCCAAGGAGAATACATAGACTGGAATCCTTTATGGATCTCTAATTAAATGATTTTAAATTGAAATTTCCTGCTGACCTTCCACCCTCCAAAAAAATTCCAATATTAGCAGTCTCTGAAATTAATTAGTAGTGAACTTTACCATACCATCAATTAATGCTTTCTCTTGAAGCCAAAATATTAAATGTGTGTGTCTAAAACAATGAACTTATTTTGGGGGCTTTTTTCTTTGCTGTTCAAACGTTTCAAATAAAGTCCACTCATTAAGACCAAGAAAAACTGAGGTAGAGACTTCAGGAAAGCCCTTTACTAGATAATGACAACGCAGGTCCTGTTTAAGAATCCAGTAGTTTCTGTTGCAGAAAAATGGTGCCCAGAATATTACACAAATATTATACAGTTTGGTTGTTACAAATCATTTTTACCAACACCTCAAAATGAACATGAAGGCTACGTCAAAACAGAAAGTAAACCTTTACTTCTTAAATAAAGCAATCATTCCAGGATATATCTGACAACTTAGAAAATATATCAGAAAGCAAGAAAATGCAAAGGAGTCCTGCTGGTGCCGTGGGTTGAGTTGCTAACCCAAAGGCCAGTGGTCCCAACCCACTAAACGCTCCATGGGAGAAAGATAGGGCAGTCTACTTCTGAAGAGACCGACAACCGTGGAAACCCTAGGGAGCAATTACAGGCACTGTAACTGTGGGTTAAGAAGCTAGACTGCAAAGTTGGTTTGAACTGCAAGGTTGATGGTTCAAGCTCATCAGTTGCTCCTTGGAAACCCTTTACAGGGTCGCTATGGGTCGGAACCGACTTGACGGCACTCAACAACAACACAGGACTTCTGGTATGGTGTCATGAGAAAAGAACTGAAACTCCTAACCTCAAGGTAGCAGTTCATATGCAATAAACATAAAAACTTCTTAATTCAAACCCACCAGCCACTCAGAAATCCTTGAGTGGCTCTGAGTTGGAATTGACTAGATGGCACTTAAGAACAATAGGGTCACTATGAGTCAGAATCCACTCAAGTGCAGTGGGTCAGAGACACTGTGTTTATCATATAACACAGACATTAGCCTTTTGTCTGTCAATTTGAATATTGGAGTAAATACTTATTGCATATGAATGATGTTATGGTTAGTGTTGGTTTTGACATATGAAAATAATTGTACTATTTTAAATAAAATAAATCAGACACAAAAAGACAAACAGTAGATGACCCTGCTTGTCTGAAATACCTAGAATAGGCAAATCTATTGATTAAAAAAGTGTATTTGTCATTTACTGGGTTTGGGAAGAGGTAGGAATTGGTTGTTAATGCTTAAACTATACTGAGTTTCTGTTTGGGATGATGAAAAAAACGTTTGGAAACAGTGATGCTGAATGCACAACATGCTAACAGTAATTTATTAACACTGAATTATACACAGAAAAACAGTTAAAGTGCTACCCATACTTTAATACATGGTGCTATAAAGATAAGCAGTGGACTGCTAACAGCAAGGTCTGTGGTTCAAAGCCACCAGACACACCTCAGGAATCCTATGCAAGGCAGCCTTGGGTCGAAATTGACTGGGTACTTAACAATTTTTCTTTTTTTAAAGAATTCCTATAATACCAACAAGGAATTTTGCAATAATTAAGTGCTTGGCTAACCAAACGGTTGGCTGTTTAACACTCATACTTTGGCTCCCCAGGAAAAAAGACCTGGCAATCTATTCACAAAAAACAACTAGAGCCTAGAAAACCTCACTATGCACTTGCACTCGTCACATGAATCAGAACTGACTCGGCACCTAATAACATGACACCACTTTAAAATGCACAAAAATTTCCACTTGGTCCTACCCAGGCCTCCATCTCAGTACCACTGTTCTCATGTCAACATGGCATGGCCTAGGCCAGGTGCAGATGAGAACTTCAACCAGTCGCCCAAGGTTTTCCTGCAAGGCTCTTCTCTCAAGGGTTCCTTGCTGCCTTTGCAATTTCCCTCTGCATGTCTTCCTGCACACTATCTCCTACTCATTCCCAACTACCCTAGCTTAGCATTGCCAAAATATCCAAAGATTTTTATCACCTCCCCAGCTCCTAAAACTGCATGCATGTGCATCCCGACCTCAACTACTACATCTGCCTGCCTCTACCTTCTCCATCATTTCTGCATTCTCCATTCTGCCTTCTAGCCCCGTTCTAAAAGCAAGGTCGGTTTCCTATTTACTAGCCTTAGTTTCTGTATCTCTAAAAAAATGAAACAGCAATAACCTTTCAAAAGTTCTTGTAAACAGTCTAAGAGAAGGCTGGAAAACACTGTGGGACTTTAAAGGATTTTCCCTACTGCTTTCTTTCTCAGGAACCACGGTCTCAAACCTACCACACAGCCCCTTACCACGCTTTCCCCGGCCACAGTTTTCTCAATAGCTGTCTTCTCCGCTCAACCCGCAGGTCCCCGCCTCCCCTTCCCCCGCAATCTTACATCTTGAGCTGGACGTTGATGTCCAGGTCACAACTATAGATGTAGTGAAACTTCTCCGATTCCCCCATGGCAAGCAACCTCAGCAAAAGCGACACCTACTAGGAGAACTCGACATAGGACACACACTGACCCTGCAGCCGCGGAGCACAACAACACACGTGCTTCCGGTTACGCCCTCGGACGTTAGAGCCGCAAATCACAGGCCCCAGCGCAACCCGACGCCACGGAACTACTCTCTCAAGCGTCCCTCTTGCGCATGTGCATAAAATGCCCACCATCTTACTTAAGGGCAAATAGGGTTCCGGAAACGCCTCTTCTTCGGTTTCAGTCCAGGTTTCCTGTACTTCCAGTCTGAACTTCCCTAAGAATTCTAAGAAGAAATTTGAATTAAAGAGTATTGCAACAGCTTTTGTTTGTTGCAGGATAAACGGGTATTAATCACAAGCTTAAACTGCAGTTGTTGTTGTTGTTAGTGCCGTGGACTCGGTTCCAACCCATAGCGACCCTGTATAGGGTTTCCAAGGAGCATCTGGTGAGATTTAACCTCCGATCTTGTTCAAACCGACTTTGTAGTCCAGCGAACTAACCCACAGCACCACGCCAGGACTTTTCCAAGAGTTGTAGGAGCTATGATAAGTGATTTGCTATCTAACAAAAAGGCCCTCTTTCTGCTTTAAAAGAGGGGATGGGGAGCGAAAAGAACAAAGACCACAGGCTTCATTCAAGCTTTGACACTAACAAAATTTAAGTTAGCTATTTGGGGCAAACCTTAAGGTCAGCAGTTCGAAACTACCAGCTGTTCTGCAGGAGAAGGATGAGGCTTTGTGCTCCCATAAAGATTTACAGCCTCGGAAACCCTGTACAGGGTCGCTATGAGTCGCACCGGACTCCACTGCACATAACAACAACAACAACGTGATAGGAAAGTGGAGTTTATTCCTTCTAAAGGCATCCATTTCTTTGATATAAATTTCTTCTTAAAAGAGAAACTATATGTAAGCTTTATTGTAGAGGGTAGCTATGAGTCGGAGCCGACTCCAGAGCACATAACCACCACCATTTTGGCCAAAGAGATGAAGCATTTGTTTGCACTGTTGATCTCCACTTCTAGGCCCCTGGGTGAACTACTATCTGAAATGCTAGCCATTTGAACCCACCAAGGCGCCCCAAAGGAAAGACCTGGAAATAGATGCCCCTAAAAATTAGAACTGCTCCACTCTATTCTGTAGCACATGATGTCTTCATGAGTCGGAATCTGTTGAACACTAAAGGGTTTTGGGATTTTTTGTTTCGTGTTTATTCTTATTCAACTCCAATGTACCTTTCTAGAGTTCTGATGTGGCACTGTGGGTTAATGCGCTGGACTGCAAAGTCAATTTGAAACGTAAGGTCAGTAGTTCAAGCTCACCAGCTGCTCCTTGAAAACCCCATACAAGACCTCTATGGGTCGGAACCGACTTGACAGTGTGAGAAACGTGTTCTATACCAATAAACACTCAAGTAATCCAATCTGTACTCAATTTAGCGAGAGTGAGGTTTTCTTTATTTGATTTAGCAAAATCAGGCATCCAGTAGACATGGGCAGACGCACCTGCATGGCTGGACTGCAAATAATTTTATGCCGCTGTCTGGAAAAAGCACCTTCTCCAGTTGTAGTTCTCTATTTACAATTCAATCCCAACTTCCCATTTTCCTTCCCCTCAGAGTATCAAGAGTGGTGCTCATGGTCTTAAAGACTGTATTCTTATTTAAAGTTCCTAGTCCTAGAACATATTTCTTTCTTCCCTTCCCCCAATTCATCCTGCTTACATATATCCCTGGGTGTAAATTAACAACCTATGTCTGGTCTAGAAATCTTGTTGTTGTTGTTAAGTGCCATTGAGTGGGTTCCGGCCCACAGCGATGCTATGTAGAGTTTCTGAGGAGCACCTGGTGAGCTTGAACCGCCAATCTTGCAGTTCAAATGGGTTTGCAGTCTGACAAATAAACCTACAGCATCGCAGCAGGACTTCATCTAGCAATCTTATGCGTCCTTTATTCCTGAAGATGGACCATCTTGAGAATTCCTCACAATGGCACTTAACAACAAGAACAATGTACCTTTCTAGGCCCAATCCAAGTTACCCATTGCCTTGGGAGTGGATATTAATCCTGTCTCTATAAGAAGAGTAGAACGGCTCCATGGAATTTTCAAGGCTGCAATCTTTACAGAAGCAACTATCATCACATCTTTCTCCATCAGAGGAGCAGTTGGGTTAGAACCAGCACCTTTTGTGTTAGCGGGGGTGCACTTAATCACTGTGCCACCAAGGCTCAAGTCTGTTAGAGGCTGGAGATTTTAAATATTGACCCTAGAACTCAGGATTCTGACCCCTCTGAGCACCCAAAGTGCTGATTTTATCACTTTTTATAAAATCTAAAATTATCATCTATATTTCCAACTAGATGCAGGGCTTTTTAAAAGTAAGAATTGTTGTTGTTAAGTGCCACTGACGCGATTCTGACTCGTAGCGACCCCTACAGGGCTTCCAGGGAGCAGCTGATGGGTTTGAACTACTGCCCTTACAAACAAGAATAGTGTATCGTGTATTTCTGTGTCTTTCTTTTTAGGTGCCTACCATGTTTCCACATTTACTAATTTATGTTGATAGATTATTATTGATAATATTGAATGAAAATATCCATATCCTATGTGTTTAGCACTAGGTGCCATGTTTTAACATGTGCATTGCTAGAATATGTCCAAATTAGGGTAATAAGAAAGATAAAGGGTCAAGGAAAAAACATATTTCAAGGAAAAGTTAACAGAAATTAAGCTGTTTAAACTGGAAAGTCAAAAAATAAATGTTAATGTACAATGCTTTGCCCAAAGTAAGTTCTTGAAAAATGTTTGTGATAGATAGATAAGGAAAAACATGATAATTATCCTTGCATACTTTGTTTTTAAGTGTCATCGAGTTAGTTCCAAGTCATAGCAACCCTGTATATGGTTTCCAAGAAGCAACCAGTGAACTTGAACCCCTGACCTTGTAGTTAGCTGCCGTGCAGCACCACAATAGGACTTCAACCTAAACGGAATGGTATCCAATAAAAGAGAGACATAGAGAGAGAGACATGAGGAAAAGGGCCATGTAACCATGGAATTATGCAACTGCAAGCCTCAGATAAGAAACTGAGTGAGACAATCCAAGATCGTTTTTGAGAAGGTTGGGTCAGAACATGATCCAGCAACATCCTACATTAAAACTGCTGGCCTCCAGAACTGTGAGACAATAAATATACATTGATGAAAGCTATTAACTGTGTGGTAACTTGTTACAGCAGCCCTAAGAAATGAATGCATGTTTTAATTTAAAAATTAAATATATGGCGTTAAAAAGTAACCATCTAGCGTCAAGTTTCCATAGAAATGACTATAATAAATGACTATCTCTTGAACCCTTTTTCTGTAAATAAAAGATTTTATTTTATAATTAAAAAATAATAGCTCCAGGTTTTTTAGAACCCAATCATAGCAATCCAACCACAGGGAAACTTTAGCATCTCTACCTCACAATCCAAGACTCCTGGCCAGTTATCAAGTGACAATATGGAAAAGTCTGGGCTTGATGAATGCCCAGAGTGATCATGTGGCAAGAACCCAAAGACCTCAGTGGTTCCACTCAAAAGGTAATTGATATTTGTTTAGAAAACAGAAAGGATCAAAAGCACAAGCTATTCTGTAAACTGAAAGAAGTATAACTTGCATGTGTACGGCTTTGTAATATTTGCATATCCTGAGACAAGTTTTTAAAAGATTTTCTTGAAAATCTCTTTTCCTCAATTTTATATTTCAAGGTGCAGAATCTTTTATTTACAGCCTTAAAATTAGTTAATTTCAGATTGATTATTGCCCAGGAATTGCCTAAATGAATTAATGTTATTAATTCTTTTTTGCCTATGCTGTTCTCCACAAGCTTTCTTCTAATTATAATTGGCTTTTCCGTCGTCTCTTCATGACTTAAAAGTGCATATACCTTCTCGTCTTCCACCCTCCCTAACTCTCTCTACTGCCTAAAAGAGCATTTCCCCTGCATTTACATTAGCTGGTTGAGAGTGTAGGTATTTTAGTTTATGACTTACATTGCATTTACTTCCATTTTAATATCACTTGTCAAGTAAAATCACAACCCTGAGAAGTCCATGATAGTAAGATCTTCATCTCTGTCCCCAGGCAGCAGAGAACTAATGGTAAAAAATCCCTAGGAGTTCTGCTAGATTCCTAATCACTAACTTTATTACCACCAAGTTCTCTTACCATTTTCTATTCAGTCTCTTGTACCACTGTGCAACAACTCTTTGCCCCTCCCCTGAACCCTCAAATTTTCCTCTCCTCACTCTCAACACCTGACCACACCTTCTACTTCTCAGAGAGAATGAAAACCTTGCAATAAGAACACAAAAATTCCCTTTATCAACCGCCCCATAAACGCCATCTGCATCTGCTCTGATCTTTTTATTTATTTATTTATTTTACTATAATGAAATTGGACTTACTCCTTCAATTTAAGGTCCATATCTTCTCCCAGGAGAAGCACATCATGCTTCATAAAGTGGAGTGTCACTGAAAACAAGGACGACCCCAATGAAATGCATTGACACAGTGACAGCAGCAATGGGTTCCAATACAACAATTGTGATGATGACAGTGTTTCATTCGATTTTGCATAGGGTCGCTATGAATTAGAACCTAATCGGCAAAATCTAAACAACAATATCTCTACCTGTGCTCTGAATTCTATTTTATTCTCTTAGGAAATTTAGTCCTGTCTTTTCTTCTGCTAGTTCCTTCTCAACAACATTTAGTCTTACCTAAAGCTTTTACATTTAAATAAATTAACATTTTTTTCATCTCTACTATCATCCATGCTTAACCACAAACCAGAAACTTAGGATCAACCTTCATCGTTCATATATCCTATAAATTTTACTTCCTAAATACTTCTTCAATTTGCCAACTTCTTTTCATCATCAATATAATTATCTGGTCCAGGTCCGCCATTTCTTATCTGAGCTATTCTAAAGGCTT